CCATCGGGCTTGTCCTGAGTCTGGCAGCGCCGCCGCTCCCGCCACGCGCTGTCGGCCGCGCCTGGATACAACTCGTCTTCCTCCTCCTCCTCCTCCTCCTCCTCCTCCTCCCTCTCCTCCTCCTCCTCCTCCTCCTCCTCCTCCTCCTCCTCCTCCTCCTCCTCCCTTCTCCTCGTCCTCCTCCCTCCTCTTTCCTTCCGCCTTCTCCTCCTTTCTCCTTGTCCGCGTGGCCATCCCCCATTTCTTTTCCTTACAAATGAATCCGCCCTGTCGCGCCCCCTGACGTGTCGAAGGGCGGGTGTGGCGTTCCGCTTGAAACTTCCAGACCATGTACGAACCTGAAGCTTGAAATTAACTACCGCTTCACGGATGGAGGGCGGGCCCTTTTCAACATGTGGCTCTCGCCTTGGCACCGCGCGCGCTCGTCTTAAACATCTGCAGGGACTTCAAGGATGGAGGACGGGTTCCTTTCAAAATGCGGTCCTCGCCCGAGCGCCGCGGGCATTCCTCGTGTAAGCTTGCTACAGCTTCAAGGATGCAGGGCGTCCCCTTTTCAAAATATGGTTCTCGCCTTCGCGCCGCGCAACTTCCTCATGAATATGTGCGGCGATTTCAAGGAATCGTATGGCTGAGTTCCCAGGGATGGTGCTCTAGCGCGGTGGATTGTCAGGACGCGACAGCCGTGTTGATTCGCGGCGTTGGGACCCCAAAAATGGCAGTCTGGCCCGATCCTAGATTGTCAAGACGCGACTGTCACGCTGATGTCCTGCGCTGCAATCCCAAGAAATGCATGTTGGCACGACCGTAGGGTCTCACACGGTTGCATTCACACGGAGCGCTTTCCGCAATATAGGTCAAGCGTTCACCAACGTAAGCCCCAACTGGTGTTTTTTTCTCAACTACGTGGTGCAATCAATGTGGTGCACTATACGTGATGCAATCTAGGTGGTACAGCTTACTTAGTGCAAATTACCCTGCAGAACTTGAAATTGTCAATTCCTCGGATCGCGTGATCAGCCCAACCACATGCCCGAAACTTGGTTTGCAAAACCCATGCGTCGGCGATTGACATCATTGCTTGGCGGTGGCTGGCGCATCGCTGCGGCCGCGCTACCCCGCGCAGGCTCGCGCGCAGAGCGGCCAGCTAGTCTGGCGCGACCAACGCGGCCGAGGTGGCGCTCACCGCTGAACACTTCCTAGCGCGTACCGCAGGCCGCGCTGACGCGCGGGTGCTTCACCGCAGACTCGCACTCAGTGCGACTCGCACTCGGTGACTCGCTTTGACGCGCGAGGGGCCCGTTTGGCAGAATTCAACGGGAATGTTGAAAAAACGACGGTGACCTTAAGAAGTCGCAAGAGCGCGAGCGCAGGCTTTTTTGGAACACTGATGTTGCGAAGCCATGTGTTTCTCTATAGTTTCGGGACGCTCGGTTTTGAACTTGTTATGATATCTCGATTTTGTTTAACCGATTCCGGCATGCGCGCGCGAAAACGCGCGCGTGCGCATTGCGTCTCCTATTTTGCAAGAAGGATTCTTGCGACCACACGCGCGCAAAGGCGTCCGAACGATTTCGACATGCGCGCGCGAAGCCCGTCTGGTAGGATTTTATGGAAAGCAAACAAACCTATTTTTTCTGAAGAGGTCGCACGAGCGCGCGCGCAGCGCAATCTTTCTTGAAAACTAGTGTTGCGAAGCCATGTGTTTGTACGTGTTTTCGGACACTCGGTTTTGAAATCTCTACAACACCGGGAAAAAATGTGTTTTAAGGATTTCGGCATGCGCTCGCGACGACGCGCGCGTGCGCATTTCCTCCAACTGTTTGCAAGGGGTTCTTGAAAACTGACGATTTGTGACAAACGAATGCGCGCGCATAAGATTCTCTGCGAGGGATGACCGGGGGACGGGGGGTCGATACTGGTTCGCCTGGGATGGTACGAGCTCATTCCCGGATGGATGATAGGGCAGACAAACATGTAAATTGCAACGGCAATACGAAGCGGGACGCAAATAATCCGGGGGGCGGGGCAAATCTATTGTATTCTAAGGACAGAGAATCAACGTGGCGCAATGTATGTTGTGCCTGATTTGGGCAAAAGACTTGACACATCCCACGCTCTTGCAAACATCCGACACACCCACCCGCAACTGGGTTTGCAAAACCCATGCGGTGACGATTGCGATGAATGCTGGGCGTTGGCTGGTGCATCTCTGCGGCCGCGCCAACCCTAGCACGCGCGCGCAGCGGCCAGCTTGTTTGGCGCCACCGACGCGGCCGCGGTGACGCTGACCGCTGGGCGCATCCCAACGGGCACTTCACTGCGAGTCGGCGATTTGGGCGGCCGCGGTATCATGGCAAGGCCGACTACGGTAGACACGATGATGATGGTGGCGACGCTGGTGGCGATTTTCACACCGACGTAGGCGCGGCCAGTGCGGGCGCAGATGCTGATCACGCCGACGACGATGACGGCGTCCTCGCGTCGACAATGAAGGTTCTGGAAAGAGTTCGACATGCGCGCGGCCGACGCGCGAGCGGCCCGCGTGGTTTTATTTGACACGGATCGTGCCCTCCCAGCGCGCGCGCGCAAGGGCGTGCGAATGATGTCGGCATGCGGCGCCAGAGGCCCGTCTGGCAGAATTCCATACACATGTTGCAAAACTTATGGCGTTCGTAAGAATTAGCAAGAACGCTGGCGCAAGCTTTTTTTTGAAAGCTGATGTTGCGAAACCATGGTTGTTTGAATGTTGTTTGGGCATTCAGTTTTGAATTCGTCACGAAACCCAGTTTTTTCAAGGGTTTCGAAATGCGCGCGCGACGACGCGTGCGTGCGCACTTCGTCCCGTTTGTTGCAAAGGGTTCTCGCGACGGCACGCGCGCAAGGGCGTTCGAACGATTTCGACATGCGCGCGCGAAGCCCGTTTGGTAGTAAGTTCGGCAAATGTTGAACAAACTTTCGTTTTACTTCAGAATTCGCCAGCACGCGCTCGTACGTTTTTTGGTTGAAAATCCGTGTTGCGAAACCCTCTGTTTTATATGCTTGTGGACACTCGATTCTGAAACGACATCGAAGGTTTTTGACAGATTTTTCGGCATGCCCGCGCGACGACGCGCGGAGGTGCACATCGTATTCGTTTTTTGCATGGATGACGGGGGGTGCCGATATCGGTTGGGCTGGGATGGTATGAGTTCATATTTAGAATGGGCGATGGGGCATAATAGTATGAAACTGCAACACAAAACAGTGTACCGATAAACAGGGGGGATACTGAATTTTTGTTGGGAAAAAGAGAATATAGGCAGAGCGATCTACGTTGGACAAATTATGTTGTACCATTAATATTTGCACGCTGCGATGTGCAATGTCTGTTGTGTGACCTACGTAGTGCAACCGCAGCCGCTCTTTCGCGCGCACGGTGGCGCGCAAAGCGACCAACTCGTTTGGCACGACCGACGCGGCCGCGGTGGTGCTGACCACTGGTCATTTCCCAGCGCGTCTTGCACCCCGCGCTGAAGCTCGGGCACGTCAGCGCAAATCAGTGCCACGAGCGGGCGCGGTACCAGTGCGACGTCGACAGTTGCAGACACGATGATGACAATCATGATGCTGGTGACGACGATGACAATGACGACGTCGAAGACAATGGCGGCGCAGATGCTGATCACGCCAAAGACGGTGATGGTCTCAATGCGGCCAACCAACCCCCCCCCTCCCGCTGGCAACGGGTAGCGCCAACGATTTACCGGGTGGGGGCCTGGACCCCCCCCCTACTTATGGTGCACACAAGCGATTGATGCGCCGGTGGCGCGGACGCGCCCTGGCGGTTGCACGCCGCGGCCGTTACCCTCTCAGGCCCGACCCCCCCCCCCGGGTAACAACCGCTGCCAGGAGAGGAAAAAACGGCACCAAGCTAGCTGCGCTCGCGCCACATCTGACATCCTATCCCTCCCTCCCATCCCTTGCCATTGCACTGATGCTTCCTTCTGTCTGCAGGCCCGTGTCATAGCCGACCTGGGACTCCGAGGGAGACCCCAACCGGAAGGGGCAGGGAGGCAAGCCCACCGGACCGTGCGCGGACCGTGCACGGCGTTTAAAGCAGGAGCGACGCGTCCTCCCACGCCTCGCCACAACAGTGAGCACTGCCTCCATCGCCCCACGCAGCTCCTCACTCTCTGGGGCCAGCCCGCCTGCTGGCCAGACAGCGACGGCAGCCAACTAGCCTGAAGGCATCGCAGCGTTGCTTTATCGGGGGGAGGTGAGACTCGAGCTTAGAGGGGGCCCGACTTTGCCAGACGGGGGCTGAGCAGAAATGACAGGACCATCTGAAATTTGACGCAAACTCCCACTGCAAACATCTCACGAACACGGGCAAAACTCACGCGGGGACAGCCAACACGCGGCGGCAATCTCCAAGGTATGGCACACTCGAGTTGCATTTTTCAACGACTCTAGGATGCTTCGATGGGGGCGATTCGGCGCAGTCGGGTAGCGCCAAATAAACTACAACCGAAAAATATGATCAAGAAAATAATCATGTAAGAAGCCTGGGCAAGCTTCCTGGAACGTTCTCAAGACAAGCTTGCGCCAAGTGCCCGTGAGAACTCTGGAGGGGCGAACGCGCTCGAGAAACTGAGCCAACTGTCCGTCAAGTTGGTGAAGAAACGCTGGCCCAGCTTCTCGGGTGGGGGTCTCTGAATCAGATGCTCGACTGTAGAAGCAGGACGAGCGACTGGTCAGCGCGCCGGGGCTGAGACGTCAATCGGGGACCCATCACAACCAGCAACACGACGAGGACGAGGACGAGGACGAGGACGAGGACGAAGACGACGGCATCGATGCGAAATGGCGCCAGGCGTCCTCTAGAGAAGCCCGCCCCCCCGCCCCGACCTCCACCCCGAGCCCCTTATGCTGCGCACACACAGCAAACGCGGTAATGTGGCTATCCGACTCCTCCTCCTCCTCCTCCTCCTCATAATCCTTTTCCTCATAATCCTTTTCCTCTCCTACTCGATCCAAGAGAGGTGAGGGCGGGGGAGATCCCCCCACCTCCTCGCTCGCCCCCCTCCCCTTCTTCCTCATCGTGACTTTCTCCCCCCATCCTTGCTGCCTTCCTTCATCTGGCATCCATTTGCGCCCTCTGCCACCGCACCCGGCTCCATACCGCGCCCATCCTCACCACCGCGACAACGAGGCTGCCCAGCCTCTCCTCTCCATCCTCCGCCTCTGAATCATCAGTGCCGTCCTGCCGCTGCCGCTCCTCCTCTCCAGCCTCCACGTCCTCATCCTCCTCCTCTTCTCGTCGCTGCCACTCCTCCTTCTCTTTCTCCTCCTCCTCCTCCTCATACTCCTCCTCCTCTGCCTCCTCACCAGCACCATGATCGCACTCATCAGCCACCTCCTCATCACCATCATCCTCAGCACCAAACCCACGATCATCACAATTGTCATCAGCATAATTTCCAGTATCATCCTCATCCTCATCCTCATAATCGCCACCATCTTCATCAGCATCATCATCGTTGACGTCGTCATTATCATCCTCACCATCACCCTCCTCTTCCTCCTCCTCCTTGTCGTCCTCATCCTCCTCACCATCCTCACCATCCTCATCATCATCACCACCATCATCATGATGACCATCATCAGCATCAGCATCATCATAATCATCATCATTATCGTCAGCATCATCATCATCACCAGTACCATCACAACCACCATGACAATCATCATCATCATCATCATCATCATCATCATCAGCAGCAGCAGCAGCAGCAGCAGCATCCTCATCGTCATCATCATCACCATCATCGTCACAATCAGTATCAGTATCATCATCATCATCATCATCATCATCATCATCATCATGATCATCATCATCATCATCACCCTCACCATTATCAACAACATATTCATCGTAGTTGTCGTCATCACCATAATCATCATCAGTATCAACCTCATCATCATCAACAGCACCATCATCACCATCATCAGCATCATCATCTTTACCATCATGATCACCATCACCTTCATCATCATAATCATCATCCTCACCCTCATCATCGTCCTGATCATCATCACCATTGCCATAGGCATCGTCATCGTCATCATCATCGTCATCGTCACTGCCATCGTCATCATCATCATCATCATCATCATCATCATCATCACCACCATCAAAAAAAATGGTCGTCGTCGTCGACGCCATCGTCGTGGTCGTCATCCCTCCTCCTCCTCCTCCTCCGGCAGCGCGCGCGAGAGGGCGCCCGCGCCCGAACGCCTGGAAGCAGGGCGACTCCAGCTGGAGGAAGCGCACGTCCGCCACGGCGGCGTGGAGCCAGCTGCGGTTGCCTGTGCGACCGGCGCACGCGCGCGCGCGCCCACGCGCCCGTGCCCCGCCCGTGCGCGAGACCTGCGCGCTCGACGCCAAGGACGACAACGATGACGACGACGGCCATGACGACGACGACGACGACCACGACGACGGAGAGAGGCTACAAGTTACGACATAATGAGTTCATATGTTTTGCACTTGTTCCTCCTCTGCGGCCGCCCTCCTCCTCCTCGCGCTTCCCGCTCTCTCCTGTCAAACTCACCGTGCTCCGACCGCCTGGGCTTCGAACACGTCGCGCGATCGTCAGCTCAGCGATAAAACAGCTCCACAGTTCTTGCAGGAAGAGAACATACAAGCATCATGTGCAATTACGTGTAACATGTACTGGGCGTTGAGCAAGATTCGACGTCTGAAGCAATGTGTTCCACATGTAGCGAGCCAAAATGTGAACGGGCTGGTTGATTTATTGCCCAATTGGTTGGCCGGCTGGCTGGTTGGTTGGCTCGTTGCCTGCTTGGCTGGGCGGGTGATTGGCGATCGCCCCCACCCCCTCCGGAAAACAATTCGATAACAGACATGGTATCATGTGGGTCGTTTGTTTGGGCGTGGCCCCACCTAGCTCCTCCATATTCCCCTCGTAGGCGAGATGCGAAGATGTCTGAGGCGACACGGGCCAGACTACATCCCGCGAGAAATTCCCCAGCAATACATGCGAGATCTCGAACGAAATGGGCTAGATCTCCTCGCGCGAGGCATCTAGGAGCCAAGTGCTGCGATGATGCCTTACGCGGCACGGGGAAGACCACCTGACGCAGAGCATCTAGGAGCCAAGCCTTGCGAGGTTGTTCCAAGAGAAACAGTCTGGACCACCTCGGGCACGGCATCTCGGAGCCAAGGGTTGCGAGGACGCCCCAGGCGGCAAGGGCCCGACCTCCTTGCGCACGGCATCTAGGGACCAAAGATTGCGAGGATGTCTCATTAGAAACGGGTCGGACTACCTGGCGCACGGCCTGAGTTTAGAGGGTGTCTCAAGCGAAACCCTCGGCGCTGGCCAGACGTTCGAGAAGGCCTGGAGCGAAATGCTGGGCGCCAATCTATCGGACGGAAAATAATATAATCACAACAGGACCACAAGTGACAGAGCCAGGATACATACACACAGATATACACATGAATTTATAAGTATACACAGGTGGTTCCGATGCCTGTACCTACACATGTATATAGGTATGTATTTAAACGTTTTCACATACTCAGGGTAATTACGGATATGGGCGTTCCAGAAAAAGGGCCTCTCCTTCGACACACCCTCGCCGTGTGCGGGAGCCAGCTGATGGCTTGAGGAAGCCAGTGAAGCTAAAACGGCAGCGGGCCCGCTGGCGGAGAGGTGGCGGAAGGCGGCGGACAATAGAGTGAGACGTCAGAAAGAGCGGGTTTCGTGGATGGCGATAACGACGACGATGACAGGTAAGACGACTACGACGACGTCGACGATGATCACGAAATCAGAGAGAACGCGGTTCGAACATTTTCGCCTGCAAGAACACATCACGAGACGTTGGAGAAAGGCTGGGGGGCAACACGGTTCAACCCCCCCACCCCTGAAAATCGGAGAGGGGGGCCTGTGCGCGTCGTCGTCGTCGTCGCCGTCGCCGTCGCCGTAGCTGTCGCCGTCACCGTCGCCGTCGCCGTCGCTGTCGCCGCAGCCGATCGCCGTCGTCGTAGTAGTAGTCGTCGTCGTCGTCGTCGTCGTCGTCGTCGTCGTCGCTGCAGCCGTTCGCCGTCGTCGTCGTCGTCGTCGTCGTCGTCGTCGTCGTCGTCGTCGTCGTAGTCGCTGCCCGATGGCGCGGGCGTGGGCGCCAGCGCCACAGGGGGGGCCCCCTGATTCGAGCCCCCCAGCGCGGGAGGAAGGAACGGGCCTCCCTGTGCGCGTCGTAGTCGTCGCCGTCGCCGTCGTCGTCTCCGTCGCCGTCGCCGTCGACGCCGTCGCCGTCGCCATCGCCGTCGCAGTCACCGTCGCCGTCGTCCGCGTCGTCGTCGTCGTCGTCGACGTCGTCACCGTCGTCGCTGCCCGACAGCGCCGGCGCCGGCGCCGGCGCCAAGGAGGAGCTCCCCCCTGGTCCAGACCCTCCCCCTTTGCAACTCGAGGGGTGAGGCCCCCTGTGCGCGTCGTCGTCGCCGTCGCCGTCGCCGTCGCCGTCGCCGCCACCATTCGCCATCGTCGTCGCCGTCGTCGTCGTCGTCGTCGCCGTCGTCGCCGTCGTCGTCGTCGTCGTCGTCGTCGACGTCGTCGTCGTCGTCGTCACCGTCGTCGCTGCGCAATGGCGCCGATGCTGGCGTCGTAGTCGTCGTCGTCGCGTCGTCGTCGTCATCTTCGTCGTCGTCGTCGTCGTCGTCGTCGCCGTCCTCGTCTTCGTCGTCGTCGTCGCTGCCCAGTTGCGCCGGCGTTGGCGCCGGCACCGGCGCTGGCGTTCGCTGTCGTGGGTTGCAGTGGGGGGGCGGGACCCCTTTCGTCTTCGCTGCTGAACGGCGCCAACGCCAGCACTGGCGCCCGCCGTCGTCGGTTGCAGGGGGGGGGGACCCTCCCAGTTCGAACACCCCCTGCAACTCAGGGGGGGGTCCTCTTGGGGTCAAACAAGGGGGGACCCCACTTGTTCGAATCCCCCCCCGCGGTCGACCCCCCCCCCACCTTGCATCTCGGGGGGGGGCCCCCGGTTCGAACAACCCACTCGTTTTTTCCGAATGTCACCAAAATGCGTTCTTTCAAACATCAACATATGTGGGTTCCATGTTTCCGGTATCGGCCGTACATGTAATAACGATAACGAAACGGTCGGGAACTTTTGCACAACGGGTCGCCAAGGTGGCCACGGAGAAAACACGCTGTGCCCCGCGAAGGGAAAGCGTATCGCTGCGCTCCGCGCGGCGGGAGGCTACGAACGGCTCGGGGCGTTGACGCCTGCGTGCCGCGACGCGGATGGCATGTCGCGCCGACGCGTGTTCGGCCAGAACCGGCGGAACGACACGCGACCCCAAAATTCCCGACCGCACGTGCAAAAATAACGATAATAATAACGACTACGAGAACATACTCCTCGAAGGACAGCTGATCCTTACTATTGTTCACGGCCAGGGGAGGTCTGAGCGGCGGGGGAGCAAAGCGCCGCGCGGCGGCGGTGGCCTGTCAGCACCCTGGCCAGGCAGCTCCCGCACTGGGTCAAGCTGCAGAGGTCGTCGAACGTCAGCGAAGAGAGCAACGTCTCCGCGATGCCGCCTGCGCTGCTCTTTCCTCGTCCTCGTCCTCGTCCTCCTCCTTCTCATCGCCCTAGTCCTCCAGGCCCGTGACCTCCTCCTCTTCCTCCTCGGGCGTATGCGCAACGCCTGTGGTTATTCATTGTATTGCCGCGCCCTCTCATCCTTTGTGTTTATTGTTACCCGCCCGACAACTTGGTGTCATTTCATATCAGAAGCAACCCCCGACCCATCCACTTTGCATGCCGCGGCCGCCAGATCCCGAGGTAACCCGGGTGTACCCGAGGGCCCCTCCTCACGCCACTTTGCATACAGCGGCCGCCAGATCCCCAGGTCCCCCGAATGTCCCCGACAGTCACGCCTCGCGCAACTCTGCATGCCGCGGCCGTAAGATCCCCGTGTCCCCCGACTGTCCCCGAAGTCACGCCTCGCACCGTTCTGCATATTGCAGCCGCCAGATCTCCAGGTCCCCTTGGTGTCCCCGAGTGTCCCGCCTGCCTGGCGCCGACTCGCCCACTCTGCATACCGCGTCCGCCAGTTTGCCAGGTCTCCCGAATGTCCCCGCGTGTCCCGCCTCGTGTCGACTGGCCCACTGTGCATTCCGCGGCCGCCAAATCCCAGTGGCCCCCGCATGCCCCCGAGTGTCCCGCCTCGCGCCACTCTGCATACCGCGGCCACCAGATCCCCAGGTCCCCCGATCACCCCTGAGTGTCCCGCCTCGCGCCGACATAGCATAACAGGACAAGCGGTAGTATACCAGAGCAGAACAATTCACTTGTCAGAAGAATGCGGTCTCCGGCAAAAAAGGGGAATGGTGAGAATGCGAACGTACCGGTCTCATCGGTCAGGATAGGTATCTCAGACATGCCTTCTATGATCCGTTAAGCTGTGACTCCATGTATACAAGAGAACAAAGAGAGGGAGGAACTGGGACGGCGACGGCACCGACGACAACCCACAACCTGTTTCAACTTTCGCGCCGATGGGCCCGCGGCACCCACGCTCGGCGGCACTCGTCTCTGGCGCTTAAGCAACTGCGTCGGCGGCAGGGAGCGAACAGGAAGAGAAGTAAAACACCTCGCCCCGCGGCAGGACGCGCAGGCCCAGCGCTTTAGCCAACCCCCGGGAGATCCACGGGTTCCTGGCACCCACGAAGGCACTTTGGCCTCCCCTGGCGCCGACCCCCAAAAACTCAGACAGCGCCAGGGGACGGGGCGCCGACGCTGCCGTTGGATATCCCTTCGGGGGGGGGGGCGAAACAGACTGACGTATCCCACAGATAAACCCCTGGCTTCAAATGCGAGCGTTCAACTTTCAGGTGCAGGCACTTTCTCCCGTTCTTGTTGGGCATGTAGCGCGGCGCGGTCTCAGACGTTTCCCGCGGCTTGTCCATCGCCTCGTGCGATTGCGATTACGATATCGATCCTATCCATCTGCAGTCCAGCGCTGCCATTCCTCTCGGGTTTTATGGTGCGCGTACTTGGCTCCATCAGGTGTATCATAATGGGTCCCGATGTTCCACTGGCCCTGGTCGTAGTTGCCTTGAGTCGTGCGTCCACTAGATCCGCGACTACCTGGCCAGAGTCCTTCGCGTCCTTGATGCGCCCAATGCGTCCGACGCCTTGGCGAGCCTGACTTGACCCGGTCTCGCGGCTCCTGCTCCTGCGTGGAGCGGGCGGCGGCCCCGGCAGGTTGTCGCGCCGCGGGGGCAGCCGGGGGGCGGCCATCGGAGGCCGCGCCCAGAACATTGCCCGACGGCGGTGCGGGAGGAGTGGGAAGAGCAGCGAGAGCACCGCCTGAGTCGGTGACCCGATCGCGCTCATCGTCGGCCCCCATGGGTTTCCATGGGCCCTCTGCGGGGACACTGCCGGCAAAGCCGGTAGCGGCCCCGTCTGGGATAATTGCAACATTGGGTGTCTCTGTAGGCGATGGCACGGCGGGCGATGCGGGGCGCGGCAGCATTTCTTCTTCGGCCGCAAAGCCTTGCATCATGTCATCGGCGGGCGCGCAGACGCCGGCTGGGCCGATATCGGGGAGACCATTATTTGCAAATGCGCGCAAATCCCTGATGGTAATCGGAACATTGCTGGCCACGCTCGGCGACCAAACGTCCCCGCATCTCAGCATATTGGCCCCGTGGCGAATCCTTCCATTTACCTTGACCAAGGGGCTGGCGTGCCATCGCGGATTGCAGCGGCCAGGGGTCCGCGCGCATCTTGGGCTTGAGGCTGAGCCCCAAGTCTGCGATAAATGCCTCCAATGGGCCAACGCCCTTCGACAGCCCCCTTATGTTCTCACCAAGTTCGTGCGAATCCCTCCGCATCTGCTGCGCGGGTGACCTGCCCCGTCCTGAGAATCCATAGCGTCTCGTATTTCTGCTGGGAGCACAGTGCGTCGATCTTGCGCTACAGCATCCAACGGACCAATGGACATTCCCGAACAGCGTTCGCTACGCGAAGGGGCCTTTTTCAAGCTGGGCAGGATGCGTATGCTTGCCCCCGAAATCAGCATGCGTCGACAATTGCAGATGGCTGCAAGAATTTGGATGCTGCCATGACCACGTCGTGCCCGGTGGTTTCGACGGAAATCCTCTACCCAGGATCCTTGGACAGGTCAACTCCATCCTTGACGTATGTTCGTACAAAAAGACGTCTCATTGCCACCTTGGGTGTTCGCAATCGCAAATTTTCGTTGGCTTATATCAGAGGTCACGTAAGTTTTCGCAGCGTTGAATTGACATGTCTCTGCTGTATCTCCGCCATTGTTGGACGGATTCCTTCAATCAGTGGCTGCTGGGCCCTCTTCGCGCTTGAACTCAGGCTAGTCCGCATATTGGCCATCAACAAAATAGAAATCGGGACGATTCGGACCGAGGTCCAAGAATGCATCATGCCTCCGCATTGCATCGTCGGAGGTCATGCGCGGCCGGCCCTCCAGGGCACTGAGATTCGCGGAAGGAAGCCCGATGCGGAAGCATGGGCCAACATGAAAGAAAGACCGAGTCTCTTTTTTTCTCAGTGTATTCGCCCGCCGACCATGTCGCCGCGGGAGGGGCAGTTGCGTCGACTGCAAGGTTCTCTTCCCAGAGCTGCCATCCAATCGTCGGTTCAATCTGAGCGTCTGCAACGTCTCGCCAAGTTGACGCACAGAGAGGATGGCGCACCATCGGAGTCTCGATCGGGTCGATGCGCCTCCACGAAACGGGCCACTAGTTAGCTACCCTGGCACGGTCCTTTCTCCGAGGGCTGCATGACATAAACCTCTTCTTGAGGGGCTCGAGGAAGCGATGATATGGGTCGCATCGGCGCGGGGTTTTGATACTGGCCCGATCGGAAGTCCCAGGAAGAACAGAGACCGAAACCAAAGCGAAGTAGGTGATGCCCACCATTGATGTCTGAATCCTCGCTTCCCGGGTGTTCGACGACTTGTTTGGCCTCGGTCGCAAGACCTCAGGTTGCCGCCGGCCTTCTGTGAACGCATATGATGCGTGTCGCTCCTATCTCTGGGAAGAAACGAAATGTTTCCGCCCTATTTATGTCTCGCGAGTCCCCTCGCATGAAGGCAGCGATCCACGCTGCCGACCGATGGCGCTTCACTCTGAACCTGTTGCAGCACTGCGCCTCTTTATGGAAGAGCACGGCGCCCTCCTGATTTTCTGGCGATCGGAGCGGACAGCCCAAACATTCCCTGCCATCAAGGGGCTTCGATACTTCCTTGCAGGCCCCCCCGCATGCTCAAGATAATCTGTCATCGACGGCAGCTCCTCCTCGACAGACAGCCTCGCTGGGCTGGGCCAGTCGGGGGATGTCGCAGCGACGTCAGGAGCCGCGGCGTGGGGGCGAGCGGGGGAGACCTCCACTCATTATAATCGGGGAAGGAAGCAAACCATCGCCCCCCTCGCGGGCAAGAGTTCTGCCAGATTGCGAACGAATAGCGGCTTCCTTCGCCGCGATTTGCACGGGCGGGCCTCGCGTGTAAGACGTGCTGATGTAATCGCGCGGCGCGAACGTCCGCCCCGCGTCTACGACGCGAACCCGGCGCGCCTGAGTGGCTCGGATCAAAGGGGGGGCGGACAGCTTCCACATGTAATCCTTCATATTATGGTCGATAAGCTGTTAGTCGCCCGTTGAAGTACTCGAATGAATTCGCCGACCCCTTGGGGCCACGGCGCGCGAGATGCCCCCCCCCGCCTCCGAAGCCCGCCCCCAGGGCCCCGGCCCGGCCAGCGAGGAGGGGGGGGTCCGGGGGCAAAAGCGCCGACCGCGCGCGCCCCAGGAGCATCAAGGGGCCCCATAAACGGATCAAGAGGGCCCGCCCCAGAAGGCACCCTGGACGGCCCGAGAGGGCCACGAGCCGCCGAAGCATCGATCCAAAACCCAAGATTGTCTCCAGACGGCCCCAGAAGCCCCCAACACACCCGAAGAAGCCACCAAGAAGCATCCCAAGAGGCCCTCCAGAAGCAAAAATCGCCCCATTCCTTAAGGAAACACCCATAGGTTTAGAACTTTCGCCCTAGGGCTTTCACGAGGCCAACACCGGCCCGAGAAACCTTCAGCATCGACCCTAGATAGCCCGCGCGGCCACCGAAAGGGCCCCAAGACGGCCCGAGAGGGCCTCAAGACGGCCCAAAAGGGCCCCGAGACGGCCTCGGAAGCGTCCGAAACAGCCAAGGAGAGCCCCAGGACGGCTCTGAAAGGAAGCCCAGAGGGGGGCCCGCATGGACAGCAATGGAAAAACTTAAGGAGGCGCCTGGACACCCCCAAGAGGCTCCGACGAGGCCCCCGAGAGGCCCAAAAGGGACAAAGGGACTCCAAAAGGCTTTAATGCGGCCCCCAAGAGGCTTCAAAAGCGCTGCCAGGAGAGCCCAGGAAAGCCCGGGAGCAGAGTTGCGATCCGCCGACCGCCCCCAACGAAATCCCAAGAAGCTGAAACCTCCAGACTCCCCTGAAAAAGCGGGCGCTCCGCGAAGTCTGGTTTTCACTATTACTGCCGCCCCAAGGGGTCGGCAGCGAGGCGTCAGTCAATGAATGGTTTCCACTCCGACCGAATCGCAATCGCAGCATTTGCCTGGGGGGCTCAAAGATCTGAACAGCGTCGGATGAAAGCGTGGATAACCCACGCATCGCTAGGGCAAGGGTTTGGCAATCGTAGCCGCCCGCGTGCAGAACGTCCAAAATCTCTGCGAATGGGCGCCAGCCCTCCGAATTCGTGAGATAGGCTATGAGCCGAGCGCACCTTTGCACCGTTGGTCACGTTCGCCCAGAGGCGGCCCTGGGTTCCCATGACTGAGCTGACATCCCTGATCTTTGCGTGGACAGAGGACTCCTTTCAACGCGAATTTGCAGGCGGCGCCATTCTTCGCCGGTCCATGCGCGGCCGCGCCAGCGGGCACCCCCAACGACTCCCCTGGGTCGGCGGGGGCCTCACTGCGCGGTTAGGTGCCCCCCCCCCCCTGGCCCACCCTGCCCACCCCGACGTCGGGGGCCGCTGGCCCTACCAGAGTTGGATACCACGAGGCGCCGCTCTCGACCCCCGGCAGCTACCGGCCACCCTGGCCCGCCGATTGGCCCACCCTGTCCACCCGGGCAGCGGGGGCCTCTCGCTGAGCCGCAGCTTGCTGGTCAGCGCGCTGCCCCTCCGCCCCACCGCGCAGCGCGCGGCACAGCCTGCCGCCGCCGGCGTCGCCGCCCCGCTTGCGAGGTTTCCTGCAGGCGGGGCGTCCTCCTCCCTGTTCGCTTCTGCCCCCTCCCCCGCCCGCTCTCCATCCCTCCGCGTGCCGCGATGGCGCTGTCCTGCTGCCTGCAGACACCACGCAGGGAATCTGGGCCCAGTCTTGCCGCCCGCAACCCCGCGCTGGCCCGGCATTTTGCCAGATTCGCTCCTCCCTTGGTGCTCCTCGACTTGCCGCACCTTCTGGGCACCCACCCAGACGACGCGCGGCCCGCCAGCCTTGCGCTTCGTGTTCCTCGGCGGTTTCGTGATGTTCGACTTGTGCTCGTTCTGGTACCCGTACTGGGCCCCAACGCCGCTGCAACCCTGGCGCAGCAGCCGCCTTTGTCCCCGCTGGCGGGGCTGGCCGCGCCAGCTCGCTCGTCCCCCCTGAGCGGCGCTCGCCTTTTCCCCCTCCCCGCGGCCGCCCGCTCTTCCCTCCTCCCCTCCCCCTGCATGGTGGCCACTTCGCAACAACGGTGCCCCCGTTTACTTAGCTTCTTCCGCCAGCGCAGGCAGCCCTTGCATGGCCGCCGACGCAAAGAGCATCAGATCGGGCTCCACCAGAACATAATCAAAATCGAATCGGATCGGCTGCGTCAGAATGCACGACGGCGCCATGCAAACATCGGGCCGCATCGGATCGCCGGGGTATCGGAATCGAATCCAATCAGGCCGGCCGGAACCGACATCGAATCACATCGATCGGATCGAAATAGACCTTGCCAAATGCTGTGGTGGTGGTGTGCCGCAAAAAAAATGGGAAACCGAAAGGTACAGATACCGCTACTCCCGGGACCTCTCCTGGGCCGCAGTCAGACCAGAAGTTCGAGGCGAATCCAGCGGTGACGACAAGGGCCTCCGAGAAAGCCCCCCAAACGAGAAAACGAGGGAAGGGTAATGGTATCGCTACCTTTTCCTCCTCGGAGGAGGCCGAGGGGGAAGGCATGGGGGGGGGTAAAGTGTGAGCTCTTTTTCCCCGTGTTGGGCGGCGAGAGGAGGGCGCGGGAGGACGGACGGGAGGATGGCGAGGGCGAGGGGGTTCGAGGCGGACGGCAAGGGCATCGCCAGAACGACGATGAGAGGAGGGCGAGGAAGGCCGGTAATGGGGGCGGCCTTCTTCCAGCAGGAGCGCGTTGAACGCCTCCATGCCCCGCCCGGCCCTCCGCCCGGAACTCGGGGCGGGCCGGGGGGTCGCGCTCTGCCGAGCAGGGTGCGGGCTCCGCGCGGCGGCGGTGTGGCGAGGAGGACGTGGGCCGAGATGGAGGAGGGCCCAGACCCCCTCGAGTCATGAACAATAGCACGACGGGAAATATTTCAGAATTTTCCCAACCCTCCTATGGTGGGATTCTCGTTGTGAACAGAGCAGTGTGGTCGCCCCGTCCTCCTCCTCCTCCTCCTCCCCTCTCCTCCCCTCCTCCTCTCCTGTTTCCTGTGTTCCCCTCTCCTCTTCTCTCGTGCCGTCGGGCTGCGATCTGCGCAACTGTCGTGAACAAAAACACCCCTTCAAGTCAGGAACAAAAACACGACGGGAAATGTTTCAGAATTTTCGGCGTCTGGGGGCCCTTCCCGAACCTCGGGCCGTCAAAAAACGACTCGGGATGGATAACTGGTCCTGGGGAGTGGGTCGAGACCTCGCTGCGTCGACGCTAAGGAAACATCATGACGTCGGGGGTCTGGGACGAGGAGGAGGAGGACGACGATGACGAGGAGGAGGCGGAGGACGAGGAGGAGGAGGAGGAGGAGGAGGAGGAGGAGGAGGAGGAGGAGGAGGAGAGGAGCAGCGGCAGTTGTAGAGCTTCGGATTGCGCACAGACAGTCCCCCACCAAGAAGTCCAGGCTGGCCTCAACAGGCCCCCCGAATTAGGCGGGGTGGTCTCAGCACTCTGGCGGCCCTGGCGCCTCCGGCGGCGCCCCTGGGGCGCTGCGTGCCCCAAGGTTCGGGTGTCGAGACCGCTCCAGACTACTGTACTCAGGGGGCCTGCTGAGACCAACTGAGACTACTCGGGGGGCCTGTCGAGGCCAGCCAGGGCCACCCGGGAAGGCTGTCTGTGTGCACCCCGAGGCCTCAGGTCAGGTCAGGTCAGGTAGAGCCTTGCACCAGACGGTGCGTGAGCAGGATAAACAATGGAAAACATACAAATGCCTTCAGCATCCTCTCCGGCTTCTGACAGCCAGCTCCCACTCACCAGGATGAAATTGAGGAGGAGGAGGAGGAGGAGGAGGAGGAGGAGGAGGAGGAGGATGAGGATGAGGAGGAGGAGGAGGAGGAGCAGGAGCAGGAGCAGGAGCAGGAGCAGCAGCAGGAGGAGCAAGAAGAGCTCTCTGGAAGACCCCTGGAAGTGCCCATGGATGGTCCCGGGAGGCGTCGGCATGCCGCGGGAGGCCACGACAGGGGGCGCCCGAAAGCCTCGATCCCCACTCCTCGAGATGGAGGAAGACGAGGAGGAGGAGGAGGAGGAGGAGGAGGAGGAGGAAGAGGAGGAGGAGGAGGAGGAGGAGGAGGAGGAGGAGGAAGAGGAGGAGGAGGAGGAGGAGGAGGAGGAGGAGGGAGGCGTAGGAGAAGGCTGCAGGGCAACCACAAGGACGAGGCATAGATTCCACAATAAGTCCTGCACTCAACTGGAGAGCCTACTCTCTTGAGGTTAAGCTTCCGCGTGTAAGTCGGGAGTGGGTTGGGGAGGTTCGGTTCAGGGCGTGTATGGTGTCAAAGCGCCATCGTCCGAAAGACGAATGACATCTTGTTTTTCGGCGCTGCATGTTGTTGCGGTGATTGAACCGCATTGGTGTTTGCGCTCCAGCTGTTCTTGATGTGATTGCGTTTGAGCTGCGAAATTCTTCTTCGTCGGTTGAGAGTGGGGAATGAGCGCGAGGGGCTAAATGAAGACGTGCGGCTCAGACCACCAACGACCATGACGCGAACCAGTGGGATCTAATAGTTGTGAAGAAACTGTAATTGTTTTGTATGTCCTTTTGCGCGGCTGCTTGTTTAGTTCTCGTACTACTTTTTGTGCGCTGCGAGTGGCTGCTCCAGTTCGAGCTTCGGGTTCCACGAATGAGTCGGGAGAAATTTCGGGAGGCTCAGGGAAAACGCCGGTGCCCAGCACGCCAACGATCGTTATCAAAAGCCCGAATATGTTGCAATGCATCCGTGTACGTTGCAGAATGTGCTTGGTTTGCAATTATTCCCGTTTGATGTTTCTGTGCGCTGCGCTTGGCTGCTCCAGCTGAACCTTAAGAGCCCGCATGCGTCGGGAGAGGCTTAGGCAGACTCATCAGGGAGGCTCAGGGTAGGTGTTGCGTCAAAGCGGCAACGGCCATAATGTAAACCACACGAACTGTATCGCAACTTTCTATGTGGCGATGAAGCGCAGGCTGTAGGGTCGCCGCCGTGATGCTTTCATTGGAGCTGTTCGGTGGTGTCAAAGCGCCAACAGCCACGACGTGAATCACATTATCGTTTACATTGAGGTTGTTTGTTGGATTAAGATCGGTGATGCGATGCATGTGGCTGTTTCGTCTTGAGCATCACTTCCGCGTGTGAGCCTGGAGACGTTTCGGAAAGATCAGGGCGCGTGTGGTGCCAAGCTGCCAACGACGATACTGCGAACACCTGTTTATTACTTCCCTTTTCTGGGTTGTTGCACCGAATCGTGTGCGACGCCTTGTTTGTTTGCGATGCAAGTGCCCTTGACGCATTACCCCATTCCGTGTCTCAGATTGGATGTGGTGATCACTGCTTCGCGTGAAATCGCGGGTGGTTCAAGGAGGGCGCATTGTTCGATGCGCCAACGACTGTGGGAGTGGAGGGGGGGGCGGCGACGAACCTTGAAGAAGAGGTGGGCAGCAGGTGGTAACACAACACAATGGCGAAGGAGGGTAATGCCGAAAACTATAATGGGCTGGCCCCGTTCATGGACACGCAGATCTAGGAAGGTCGAGCTGCAGGAATGTGGCCAAGAAAATGATCGAGACAACTCGTTAAGCAAAAGAGGGCGAGAGGAGAGGGCGGAGGTGGAGGGTAACGAGGTAGGAAACGGATTGAACGACGACGAGGGGTGTATGGACGGCGAAAAACAATGGCAACAACAACAACAAACCCAACAACAACAACAACAACAACAACAACAACAACAACAACAACAACAACAACAACAACAATCATTTAAGACTGGGGACACTCCGCTCTCACCAGTGCCAGGGTTTTCATAGGAGGCGGGCAATACCCCCACTTTGTGGGGGGGCCGGTTCAAGCTCTACCAATTTCCAAACGACTCTTCGCCACCACCCACACCCAGCTTCCCGCCCTATGACGTTCGGACACTTCACTTCGTGGCCTGCGGACGACCGTGGCTACTACACTGGCGCGTGGCTACTACACTGGCGGATTGTGGCCCCTGGCAGGCGCGCGAACGCCGTTGAAAGAGCTTGCGAAAACAGCTCGCGCGAGCTCTATAACATAAATGTTGAAAAACCATTGGTTTTTTAAGATTCGGACAGCGCGCGCGGGTAGAAATTTTGAAAATTCGTACCGATGTTTTTCGAGAACCTACGGTGCGATTCGTATGATTTTATGTTGCGTTGTGCTAAACTTCCTAAGAAACCCAATGATTTTTGAAGATTTCGGCGTGCGCGCGCGAAGAAAAAACGAATGTGTCCCATATGGTATTATTTGACAGGGATGATGGCCCTGGCAGGCGCGCAACCTTTGTTGCAGAAGTTCGAAGCACGTGAAAAAGTTGCTCGCAAGAGCCCGTTTGACAGAAATGTTGAAAAAGTATTGGGTTTCCTAAGAAATCCGCAAGAGCGCGCGGGGTGAATTTTTGAAACCCTTTTTTTGAAAAACCATTGGGTTTTTCATGTTTTTATGTTGAAAATCGCTACGAAGACTAAGGTTTTGGAAGGATTTCGTCTTGCGCGCGCGAATGTCCACTTTACCTTATTTTTTGCAAGGGATTCTTGAAGTTTGGTTATGTTAGAACAAGAAATGTCCACTTTAGCTTATTTTTTGCAAGGGAAAACCGATCGTAACAACACAACCGGATCCGGACACCCACGTTTTGCCTGAGACTTCCTCACGAAAATGATGAAAATGTGGATGCGGCCTAGGCGCGGCGGGGGGGGCGCGCACCAGGGGTCCCAACAATAATTATTCTTTAGAATTCATAATGTTCAACAACAACAACAACAACACCAACACCACCAACAACAACAACAACAACAACAAGGCTATGGACGTTCCTGGAAGCCCTTGGCGAGGGCGGCGGCAGGAGCTCCTGGCTTGGGGGGATTGGAGCCTTCCCTGACGCCCTTCCCCGTGGCGGCCCCCCCAACAACAACAACAACAACAACAACACCAACACCAACAACAACAACAACAACCACAACAACAACAACACCAACACCAACACTCATCATAAGACTGTTCGCTCTTACTTGTCCGCGTGTCATGCAAGACGGGTTCCCCACAGCCTCGGCACCCGCCCTGTATGGATTCGATCACACCCCGTTTGGGGGATTGTTTCTCTTTGCGTGGGGCGGCGGGCTAAGATAGGCGGGCAAACCTGAACGGGCGGACAATCCTTCGTGGGCGTACATGTGCCCGCCATTGGAATTGGTGTGGGCCCTGCATAAAGAGGAGGGGGAGAACGAGGGAGAGTGGGAGCAATGGAGGGGGAGGGACGAAGGAAGAGGGAAAACGCCAGGAGAGAAGGAGCGAAGAGGGGGGCGGCTGATTTGAGGCAGAGAGAGAGAGAGAGAGAGAGAGAGAGAGAGAGAGAGAGAAAAAAACAAAAAACGAAAGAGAGAGAGAGAGAGAGACAGAGAGACATACAAGTAGATAAGAGAGGTAGAGACAGAAAGGCAGAGAGAGGGGAGCGAGCGAAAGAATGAGGGAGGGAGGAGGCAGGAGAGGGGAGAGAGAAGGGAAGAGGAAGAGCAGGGAGAGGGGATAGGGCAGAGAGGCATACGGATGGGGGAAAAGAGGAGGGAGAGAGAAAGGAGGAGAGGAGGGAGGAGGGAGGAGGGAGAGGGAGGAGGAGCAGGAAGGTAAGCGCGTGAACGTTCGAGGAAGTCCTATGCGAAAGCGCCGTTCCTGAAGGAAGTCTCGGGCGGGAGCCCACGACGGGCGGGCGATCTCCTGACGGGCGG